AAAAAAAAAAAAAAAAAAAATATATATATATACAGTATTTTACAATATTAATAATTTTACTGTATTTTTGACCAAATAAGAGTGCATTTTTTCAAAAATCATTCTAATATGCAGATTTGGTGTTTAAAAACACTTCTCATTATTATCATATTATTATATTTTTTGATGATTAGAAAGTTCAAAAGAACTGCATTTATTTGAAAAAGAAATCTTTTATAACATTATAAATGTCTTAACAGTCACTATTTCCATAGTTAATGTGATGAACTGCACTTGTGATTACTTCATTCATCCATTACAAAACACCGGCACATAAAAGTAATTTTAAACACTAGCTCAAAAAAGTGAAGTTAGTTCTGAGAAAAGTTCTGCAGTGGCATCGCGCCTATTTTTGTTCTCACCGCAGGATTCTGGAAAGCAATAGAGTTCAACTCCACCATTCCCTCCACTGAGATGGTGTCCACCTGAGTGAATGGAATACGGTGTCTATAGTCCATGAAGTGTCTCCCATTAGTAGATATCTAGAGAGAACCATCATAAAAATCATAAATGAAATGAGGTGAAATGCCTTTCTAGTAATTTACTATTTATCGTTCTGCTGATTAAAAAGAAAGATGAAAAATGGATTGATGCTACTCAGAAATCTGAAAGTGAATGACCTTGTACCTTGTATTTGTCCTGCTCGACAAGGATCTGGAGGGTGAATGTTTGGCCTTGGGGGAAGGGAGCTTCATATTTGCGTTCCTCTGAGCCCCAGCACCTGCTCTGGGAGGTGTTGTGCACGACATACCCAGGGCTCTCATAGCGTGGGTTAAAGTGCAGAGCAATATCAGCCCCGGAATGAGATCCACACTGCAGGTTCACATGAAATCTGCAGGACAAAGAGGAATAAGAGAGGTATGAGAGAAAACTGGGTAACAAGGAAGTTGTAACAAGGAAAGTGTGATCGGATCATCTCATCTAATCTCTGATCTGATATGTTCTAAAATAGTTGCAGGGCTCAAGAAATGACACCTGAATTGGTAAATAATTATTTTAAAATGAGCATTTTACCACTAAAAAGCATTAAGAGCTCTTTTGCAGTGTAAATAAAGGGAAACAGCATATTGTAGACTCTTCTCATCTTTTTCACACATCTTGGTTGCCTCTGATCATTAACCTAATTAAGTAGAGACCATATTATACCACTACACTACTAAAACAATAAAGGCCAACACCAAAGAATTATGTATAAAATTATCCATAAGAAAACATTGTAGTTATTTAATCTATTTTATTACCCTAAATGAAAATGAAATAATTTCATGTCCTTGAAAACTAACATTAAACATTATTCCTCACCTGTTAGCCCCTGTCAAAACTCTTCCACTTATGATAATGCTCTTCCCGTCCTGCAGGCCTCCCTGGATTTGGCCACTGAATGGGATTCTCTGTGTTGATGCAAATAGTAATACCACACATAAGTAGTCATCTGCCTTGAGGAACTAATTCCTAATCATACGAATAAATTATTAAAATGGCTAGTTTTATACACGAAATTGGCCTACACCAGTGGCGTGGGCAGGCCTCCGGAGGGGAGAAGGGTATAACTGCAGCCTGGAGAACTCCAAATGGGGGCGGGTTTAATGTGTTGTTTTATAGATGTTTTGACGTTTTAAATATAGTTTGGCGGTTTTTTGATGATCCCGCCTCGCGGCGATGACGTCATCACTAGCGCGCGCTCACTCGAGAAGGGTATAACTGCAGCCCGGAGAACTCCAAATGGGGGCGGGAACTCCAAAACGGGGTGGGAGCTCCAAAATAGGGCGTGGCTTCCTCCCATTGACAGACAGGCACATGACACGCATGCGCTCTCACGGAGAATATTTATTTGTATAGCATATTTTATTTTAGATGAACTAGAAACAATGTTTAATTTAGAAAGTTTTATTTTGAAATGTAAGTCAATAACAACTGGCTGAAGCCACAGCCAATGGTGAAAGTCTTTGCGCGAGGAGACCCCGCCCCATTTTGGAGGTTCTGGCCACTTTTGGAGTTCACGCCCCATTTTGGTCTGCTTGCCGGAGTGGGGAGGTTAGGGTGGGGTCCCCCTCGAGCCCTCGAAACGCCACTACTCCCCTGCTCCTCCGGAGGTCTGTGCACGCCACTGGTCTAGGCTACAATAAAACTTCTATGAAACTCCACCACACCTTGTGCTGAGACAACTTGCCCCGCTTGCTGTAATGAACTGAACCTTTTTACTGAACGGTGAAAATAATGTTCAGTTAATAAAAAATTAATTAATTAATTAATTTTTAAAAATTACAATAAAAAACACAGGACCCCCCTCCCCCCATAACGGAGCGTAATGGAGTTTTAAGTGTGCGTGCAAAACCACACAGTAGCTTTAAATAGTGTAATAACTAAAAAAAAGAGAAAGTAAGAAAAAAATGCAAATAAAGGAGATGCTGAAAAACCATTGCTTATTACGACGCCATATGATTAATTTTTCAAAACAAAACTAAAAAAATCGGCCACTTACCGGGTTGTAAAACGGCTGTTGTTGATAAAAAGCCATTTGATCAGTTACTTTCCTGCAACTTTAAGTGTGTGGCCAAGAGAGACGAACAAAAGGGAAACGAGCAATTCGACAAACAGCTTTAAGACCCACCTACAAATGTCTGGTTTCCGAAGAAATGCAAGTTTCAGTTTCTCCATAAAACAAAATGGCCATTGTCCCCTGGGTGTAGGCTACATGTGGTTCAAAATTCAACCTACATGTAAAACATATAACCTAAGAGACTAAATATAGCCTATCTTTTAGGAATATTTGTATTTCATGTTATTCCATCCTTCCCATTTCCAAACTGCAACGTTATTTATTGCGTAACAGCGTAGCCTACGGAATAATCGAAACTGCAGAAGAGTTCTCCCTTGAGAAGTGCAAAACATATTGTAGGGGGACAGCGGGGCTCTTTCACTGAGGGAAAAACTGAAATGTAAATCGTTATGCACGGATAATCATCCTCTTATTCATACGTAACATATTAAAACATTAAATGTCAAGATGTCAGCTATAGCCTATAACATGATTCTAGAATGACTTGTAACATTGCGCTGCATGAGCAATTTGAATGTGCATTTGAATTGCCCAAATTAGGTTTGAGAGCTACAGCCTAGGAAAATCATGTAGATCACCTCGTAGGATTTTACACTAAACGTAAATGTAGTGGCGTACTTTTAGGAAATGTGTTGTCACACCAACTTACCAGCTGTTTGTACCATTTTTTAACAACCAGAGCCATAAAATGATGGGTCAGAGGAGTCTCAGACCACAGACAATGGATGTTTTTTTTTCTCTCTTTCTGATAGGCCTACATAAAACTCAGACAAGTATGTTGAACTAAAAAACATTTTTGAATTTTTTTTAATGTTGCGTTACTGCATAAGGGTATGTTTGTTTTTGAACAGGGTATATATATATATATATATATATATATA